GCAATACTTTCTTAGGCAATTGTAAGCAAACACAAAAAACCTTAAATTTCATATTTTACTTCCTAAAACCAACAATACCTGGGATTTTTCTTCTTCACACTTATTGTGAATTGTATTTTATGATTTTTTTGTAAGGAATTTATTTCCTTTAAAATAAGTAGGGTGGTTGAGGAGACAATAAATCGTATCGTTTGTCTAGCTAATTTATTACTTTCGCCTATTTTACTTTTTAAAAAGAGGTATAAAATAAATTGTGCAACATTTTTACCTTGATGATTTTTAAAAGTGCTTTCTATTCTTCTATTTTTTGAAAAAATATGTCCAAGGTTTGATTAATAATAAAATATAAATGTAAAAAACTTTCAATGTGTGAATTTTTTACGACGAAATCGCCACAAAGTGTTTTTTTTTTGAATTTTTATTTCGGCTTTTTTCTCTATATCTTTCGTACTTATTTCCCAAAAGATATACTCATATAAAAAAGAACATACTCATAAAAAATGTTCGCTTTGGTGCGAGAATAAATTTTTGTGAATGAAAACAGTGAAAGAAATATTGTGTGTGGTGAGAAATAAATAAAATGGAAAAAAGAAAAAAAAAGCTCATGAGATGATCAGAAAATAGAAGAAAATGTATAGATAGATGTACAAAATGTGAAATTTCGCACAGAGGAGAAAAAAAAAACATTTATCGTTTTGTGCATAAAGTGAATGTTTAAGGGGATGATAGATAGATATTTAGATAAATGGATAGATATTCACAACTGTGTGAATTTATGTGAGTGTGCTTTTAAGAGGAATGAAATTAAACGATAAAGTAAAATGTGGTATGAAGTCCATGCTTGAAAGGCATCGTTTGATTATTTTAAAAAGCAACGTTTTACTCAGAAAAGCAATCATACTAGTTAAAGTGAGCATTTTTATGATCTTGATTTGATTGTTAAAAGACATGCAGAAATTTTTCAAAAAGTATCTAGTACCAAATTTTATTGGACATCATAAGTGAATGCCCCTAAAGATGATTTATATAAATTAATGCTTTATACTTTCGTGTTTATCAATCAAATTATTATAATGTCGAGTCTTATGATATAAAAACAAACAATGAAAGAAATTGAATTATCTTGTTGTAAACTACTAATCGTGTAATTTCAGTACATGCTATATCGACAATATTATCGTGCTATATTACAAATGTCAGGACTAATGTATTACCAAATTACTACTGAACAAAAAAGAATTTAATTAAAGAAAGTACCAGGAGTTCTCAATTTGAAAATTTTTATTGTTTTCAAAAACTTTCGTTCAAATTTAATTTACTTTCAAAACAAATTAAAAATTAATAATATAAAGCAGAGATCGAAGCCGATTTTTTCGGCTTAACTCAATTTTTGATTTTTTTGATAGAAAAAAGCTATTTACCACCCATATCAAGTATTTAAATTGAACTTTACATGCTTTACTATGATTCTGTGTAATATTTTGTCAGCATGTAGCTATAGTAAGCTCAGAATTTCAATTTAGCCGATTTTAAGCCGATCGGCTTAAATTTCGGCTTAAAATCGTTTAACTTGAAATTCTGAGCTTACTATAGCTACATGCTGACAAAATATTACACAGAATCATAGTAAAGCATGTAAAGTTCAATTTAAATACTTGATGTGGGTGGTAAATGGCTTTTTTCTATCAAAAAAATCAAAAATTGAGTTAAGCCGAAAAAATCGGCTTCGATCTCTGATATAAAGGCAAATCAACAGAAGCTATTTTTTTGTCAGATCATATTTTCTTAAAATTCTTGAATTCTTCACGAAATATCTGGAATTACCTCGTTTTTAGTAAAACTTTCAAAATGCTATTTTTTCTTGCTTAATCAATGTGAAAAGTTAAAAATTTACTTACCCTGTTTTTTTGTTATAAGCTAGTAGCTTAGTATAATACAAAGGTGATTTTTTTTTCACTAGTAGCTTAGTAACGAATAGTAGCGTGTAAAAAATTCAACTTTAACGAAAGTTTTAAATTTTTTAAAATTAAGTTGAGCTTTGTGCATGTTTTCATTTCACTTGCAATGTCATGCTGCATTATAACACATTGTAGTTGCTTCTTACAGTTCAGAAATAGATTAATGAAACTATATATTTGGAAGTAGTATTTAAAAAAATTTAAAGTTCAAATATCTTTCCTAAGCTAATAGCTTAATAACGAGTAGGACCTTACAACGAAAAAACATGGTATTCAATTTTTCGAATAATTACAATCTTTGAACTTTGCAAAGGTAAATCAATTTTGGATTGCTAGAGCTTTAAGTTTATGTCTGCTTTATTCTAAATAAATTAATAATACTAAAGAGATATTTGTGAAAAATAGCATTGTTGAGTTAATATTTTAATCTTATGGAGGTTTAAAAAACTGCCAGTAATTAATCCCGCGGGATTTTATACTAGCTGTAAATATAAAAAATTATCTTTCTTTTAAAAAAGTTATTTTGTTATTTTGTCCTGATCTCGTACATAAAGCAATCGATGTACAAAAATTTCAAAAATGGAAACATCAGGCTAAATCAAAATATTTATTTCTGAAAAATTTAACAACTTTTTCTTGTCGATCATAAAAGCACCAGACTAAAGAAAATAAAAAAGTTCTACCGATTTATAAAACGAACAGCTTTTCGTAGTTTTTCTTTCATATATAGCATATTTTTTTATATTTCACTTACACGCGGCAAAGAAAGAAATTTTAATAAAATGCTCGTTAATCATTATTGAGGATGTTAAAGTTTTTTCATTCTCCATATATTTTCCATTTAATTTTCTTATTATTATTATTGCTTGCCATGTTTGGCTTCATCAGCCGGATGTAGGCTTATTTTTCGTAATTTACTGGAACTGTGAAAAGGTATTTTGATTGTATGTTGACTGTGGCGTGCTGGCTTCTACTTTTTACCTTTACTCATGCTTTTTTATTTCATTTATCTGCTTTGGTGTATGAGTGTGTAAATTTTATGAAAATGTAAGACACCTTCAGGGCATTTCACATTTTTTATCCTTTTTTACTTACTTTTATTTTCCACATTCTTCTGGTGTTGCTGTGTAAATGGAGGTCAGTTATTTACGATTATTATTACGATGATGTTAAAACGAGCAGTTTTGTGAAAAAGTGTTTTACCCTAAAAACTCAACTTAAACATTCACTTTATTTTATAACATTACCTTTAGTAAGAGAATAAGAAATTCTTTTAAATGTTAAGGACTTATTTTCATGCCTTAAATACTATACGATCAACGGAACACGTAACAAGATTTTTTTAGATCAATTCAGAAATTCGGGACAATAAAAAAAAACAATTTTCATTATTTTCAAAATCTCTTACTTTACATTCAATTTTGTTGATTTTTTTTTTTTTTTGGTACTTACGACTTATCAAAATTTTTACTTTTTTAGAAACTGAGACAGATGATTTAATAACAATGAGCACAATCCATTTCCTATTGAAGTAAATTTATATCTTTTGATTATAATTATTAGGAAAGTGAAATGAAAAACCAATTTAGAATAAACATTAAAACTTTAATTTGAAATGTAAAAAGTCAATAACATTGATGTTGATATTGATTGATAAAAAGTCTGAAAATTACAAAAAAAGGCTCAGTACATAATTGTGAAAATAAAAGTTGAATTAAAAAAATTGAAATAACCTAAAATGCTGGACTTTGTGAAAAGTGTAAAATAAAAATATTATGCGCATAAAACTGATACCTGTGTTTGGTGATAATTGATAAAAAGAAACGCACTGTGAAATTTATATCACCAACCAGTAAAAGAAAGAAATTTAGTGAGATAGTGAAAAGCGGAACAGAAAGACTGATATGAACATTATTCTGATAATATGGAAGGAAATGTGTTGAGAGTGTGCAAATAATTGTTTTTCAGCATGAACAATGGTAATAGCACCATCATTGCCATCAACAGAGCAGTAAAAGAATTTTGCCTCCTGTCGAGTGCGCGAAAGGAAAAAAAATCATTCGATTATTTTATGAATTTTGACAAGAACAGTACATATTTATTAGTTTATGTGTGTGGAATGTGTTATGAAATATGAACATCTAATGTTAGTGACAGTAAAAAGAAGCCGTGAATACTAAACAAAACATTACAGATACAGTGAAGATAACTGAAGAATAAGATAAAAATCGCAAATTTCTCTTTACGCTTCCATTTTATTTTATCAATTTATTCCATACACACAGAAAAAATAGTATAGTGTGTTAATACAACAGAACCGTGACATATTATTGTATTGCATATCAATAGCGAATAAAAAAGTAAAATGAAGCGTAATAAATACTTTATAGTGGCAATAATAATGATGATATAAGTACCATAATAAAATATCCTTTCACTTAACTTCCCTCGTTTGGCTGTTTTATTTTTTATTTTATTCTTTTTATTTGCACTCTTTCATTCATTGTACTCGTAATATAACGTAATGAAGTGTTATGATAGTAAAAAAATTATCATCATCGCCATAATTATACTTTTTATGCCAACAGCATAAGCTCACTTGTTTGTGAAGGAAAAAAATGTTAATAACGTGAATCTTAAGTGTATATTTGTGTATCTTAATAAAATTAATAGTTAGTGTTGTTATAATAATAAAACTTCAATCAAAAAAAAATCTCATTAATTGATAGCAAAACAGTTTTAAATTTATAAAAACATTATTATACTACTCTCATTTTGCCAAGAATGACAAACGTGAATTAACAATTAATGAAAATGTAAAATAATAGATACACGAAAAAAGACAGTGGATTAAATTTAGAATTCAAAGGAGGCATCAATGAAAATTGATTTTTTTTTAATTCAAAATAAATCTAATAACGATTACTAGCCTAATTGTATTGATAATTAAAACTTTAAAAATAACTGAAAATTGTATTTGTTGCAAAAAAATGTCATAAAAATTGATTACGAGGCGATAAATGCTCTGACTGTTTACATTAAATTGAATTTAGGATAATTAAATACAAAGTGAATGAATTAAATAAATTTTGTGTAATTTATGTCAATGTTGAACAACTTCAAATAAAAATAAAGGATGGAAATGTTCCTGAGAATTTTAACAACTGCAATTATTCTCTTATGGAGTATTCAAACATATAAATGCACAGAAGGATATAAACCAGGTTAGCATTTTTTTTGCAATTTAATTTGTATAATTTATATTTTTAATAACTTCGTTTTGTCCGTTCACACACATAATGTTTAAATCTCTTTTCCTGCTCTGAAGATTAAAATGTGAACGGTCCCTAATAAGGGACTTACATATTTTTTTAAGACAAAAATATAGGAATTTCCAAGAATCAACTTAAAACTTAACGAACGAAAAGGAAAGCTAGTATCATTTAAAATGAAAGTCACAAGTTTTGGAAACGGTAAATCAATGCTAAAACTCCAACTGTGCCCTGTGATTCTCTAATGACTAAAAATTAAGGTGACACACTGAATTAATACATATTAAATTAACACAACTGGAAAGAAGAATATCAGGTTCAATTAAATAGTGTAGGCAATACTTAAGATAAGACTACCACTCACATTATATTATTACATAAATATGATAAATATCAAAATTACAAAAATACGACTTACGGAGAAAGCCACGAACATCCACGCTAGGTTATCGATTAAAATATTGAAAGAGCCCAGAAGTTGTTGAATCTGGCCCTGTATTGAAAAGCAGTCTTTATATAAATTAATGTAAAACTTGGTTTAACATGATTTTTTAAAAAAGGTGAAAGGTTTCTTTCAGAAAGTTTAGAAAAACAATTCACAACTGTCAAAAAATCCTCAAAACCCCTTGCTTCGAGAAATTTTGGCCTAAACCCTTGGATTGAACAATAATATTTAACTATAATGCACAAGACAAAACGTTATTTGAGGTTTTGGAGGTTTTGGAGCCCTTTGAGATTTTTGGAAAGAAATATTTCATACTGTAGTAAAAAAATATGTTGTTTTTTTGCATAGAAGTTAATAATAGCCTTTGCTTATTTTTGAACACTAGACTTTAATATTGCTGTTTAAAGAATTATTGATTGTTTTGTTAATTCAATTTTAATATAAATTTCAAATGATCATTAGTATTAACTTTTCAAAGGACCCTAGAATTTGTAACAAAATAAATTATTCAAATTTATTTACTTCCTTTACATTTTTGAGCGAATTTTGTAACCTTGAACTACCTCTACTTGGAGTATAATTAAAAATTTACGTGACATGACAGTTGACTTTTTTGTTTATTTTACTAATGAATGTATTTAGCAGTATTTACTGAAAAAAACAAAAAAGGTAGTAGATGGAGAACGATATAAGAATTCGTCCTGTCTTCTACATACAATAAATAAAAAATGTATTTAGAAGGAAAATCATCGCGGGTATGATTTTGTTCAATAAAACAAATCGATGAAAATTGTTGTTTTTATCATCAAAATTAATTAAACGTTTCGTTTTGGTTAAAAATGTCATAAGAAGCACTTAAAACTTTATATAAAAAAGCTCTCATGTGATTGAATAACTATAAGAATTTATTTGGATAAAATACATTTTTACAGACTGTCAAAACTCACAGAGTGGGAAGTTTTCAATGATGAAGTTTCGTTATTCAATTTATCTATCCACAGTATTTTAAAATCTCTGACTTGTGGTCATTCTATTCAATTTCAATAACTCAAATAACCTTAACTTGTTCCTTACATATTAGTATGCACATTATTGAGTGAGGAAAAGGAGAAAATTCATTGAATATTTCATTATACAAAATAAAAGTGTGCATATTCTCATTGCATTCTATGCAATGGTATGATGGTTGATTAGAAAAATAATTCCACTCAATTTGCATCCCTCACAATACAAAAAAGTTTTTAGAAGATATAGAGATTTCAGATTTCGAGAAATTCCATTTCTCATTCTAGTATATGGAGAATTAAAATATGCGAAAATTCTACAAAACCTAAAAAGAGCAAATAAGCAGTAAATTTTTTTCTTCTGTTTTCATGTGCTGTAAAATACTTCCGAAATGAACATCAGTGGCTTTAATCAGGAAAGAAAAAAATGCAGAAAAATCGGAATCTGGTTTATTTGCATTTCTAAATAGATCTATTCTTCTATTTTATTCACACCATATTCACGTGTGAATGTATAATTTTTTTTAAGTTTGAAAAATCAGTTTTTTACCTTTTGTAAGGAATTCAAGTAAGATAGCTGAAAATGTCAGAAGAAGAAAAGTATGTGAATTTTGTATGAAGTTTTAAAACTTCTGCAAATAATAGATTTCTCTTTTATTGTTAACGCTTTTACGGGGGAGGGGAAGGAGGGAGGGGTTATAAGTTTTTGTAACGGTTCAAACAAAAGAAATTATTTGGACAACTTTTATGTTATCTAACGTAAGTCAAGCGTGTAAGTTTGTAGCTTTTAACATAAGTCGTGTTTTTTCTAGTTAAAAAAAGAAAAATTGCAAGAGCATGGTGTCGCTGACGCTGAATTCTTATTGGACGAGCCCCATTACGCACAATATATTACGTATACTCATAAAAATAAATTTAAAATATTCACAAAAATTGAAAAGTTTTGAATTTAGATTTAAAAATGTTTTTAAAATTTTAAAAAAGTGTTCTTAAATTTTTAAAAAATTAAATTTGGAAAAAATCCATCTGTGGAATTGCTCAAGGAGCTGATGTGAACAATTAGCTAAAAAATCTACACCTTTTAAGGGTTTTTTCACTTATTAAGTTTGCATTTTTGATATTTTTGACAAGGAAGAATCACTGTGTTTTTTTTGAACACATTTGTAAGCTAGCAAGAGATATCCATAAAAACAGTAAAAGAAAGCTATTTTAGTTTAAAATGCAATTCAATTGAATGTGTAAATACAATATTGAGACGATAATAGTCAATATGTGCTGTGCACTTTAAAAATCACAATCATTGTATAGAAATAAAATGATTACGAGAAACTTACAATCCAAATCACGCAAACCCTCACTTAATATATTATATGTATTGTTATGTGAAACTAACCATACTTGCTATAACACTTAATGGTTTACAAAATTTAACACTTTTTTTGGAAGAAATTCCATTTTAAATATCATTTTTTGCACTTTATATCAAGCCTCCCCCATAAAAGATTATAAACTTTAATAATTTTTCATACGAAGATTAAAATCTTTGTATGAGATTCTTTAAAAAAATAAAATATGCAGGAGCCTTTCTTTTTATTTACTTTTCAAATGTTTGACTGAACTATTTAAATACATTTTAGCATAATCATTAATTTATTGATCCTAAATCACTGAATGAGGCCTTAATTAAAAAAAAATTAAAAATTTCTAGCAATTCTTTGAGTCAAAAAAATTAAGCTTGTTTTTCAAAATTCCTGAAAATACTGAAGAAAACAAAAAATTTTAAAATCAATTTTTCACTTTCATTAATTAAATATATTGGAGCACAATACTTTTAATCTATAGAGTTGGCGACATTCATCGATATATTACGAATATAAGCCTAAACCTTTCACGAAGCCAACATCGAAGAATAGTTTATTTTGTCATTAAATTAAATTCAAAGACTCTCAGGATACAGATAAATCCAGAGCTCGAAGTCGACACGAATTGACTCAAAGTTGACTTGTAAAAAGGAATAATTTTCTTACATCACAAAAAGTGTTTTAATTTACATGGGGAATATGTTCAAACCTGCCTTTAAGGTGCTTAATGAAAGGATTGGTAATGTGAATGTGAGCTACCAGGGGCGTAGCCAGAAAATTTTTAAGGGGGGGGCCCATTTTCGAAAATTAAAAAAATTGTTATTTTGTATCCTTAAATCTATATTCATTCTTCATAAGTTTAAATATTTAATTCATTATTCATACATTAAATTTAATTTTTCGTGCTGATTTTGACATTTCTTTCATCACTTCCTCTACATTAACTGGTTTTTCTCTATAAATACTTAATAAAACAATTATCAGATTTTCGTAGGGGGGGCCCGGGCCCCCTATGGCCCCCCCCTGGCTACGCCCCTGTGAGCTACAGTTTTGTAAGTCGTTTTTCTCCTTTGCTATAATGATTTGTTCTACTAAATTTTCTCGATTACAACTGTGACATTTTTCAAATTGTCTTAAACAGTTTTAAAATTTTTTATAAAAATCGAATATTTTAAATTGTTCAACAATGAATATCTCTGGTAATAATTATTTAAAATACAATACAATACAAAAATATACTACAATATATTGAGGCGGCTTGTATTTAATTATGGCGGTGAAGAAAGGGAGGCTTTTTTCAAAGAAACACAAATTCATAACCATAGTCACTAGGTGCGTAATAGTAAAGTGAATAACACCATATAAAACGTTATGGCATATCATGAGCATTTACACGATATTATATTAAAACATTACTTTTCTTTTTTTGGCCTTTACTTAACTTAAATGCTAAAAGTAAGTGAGTGTAATTCAATGGTAGGCAAACATTTATTTCTCATGAATCAACAGAAAAGTTGAATGAAATAAGAAAATAAAAACTAAATGCAATCACAAGTGTTTGACTTTGGCATAAAGATATGGTTACGTATATTTTCCGTTCTTTAAGGATAGCTTAGTCGTCGTGATTATTAAGTGTGTATGAAAATGTATGTAAAAGGCATATATTTGGATTTTATACATTTCTTAAGGAATGAAAACGATAGAGAAAAAAGAAGGGTGGCATGTGGTAAATAATCGATATTTGTTTCCCTTTTTTTCTTTTATAAAAGCAACACTTTACACAAACAATTTCAACATTGATAAACGAAAATCAAGAATCAAATTGTTAAATAAATAATAATATTTGAATATTTTTTTACTCTGTTCACTCGTGCTTCTGTTGTTTTTTTTTTTACCAACATTTTTGGCATTTGAATATCATCATTATGTAAATACTTATGAATCACATTAAATATTTAACATTTTCTGCTTACTATTTTGGTTTACTTTAAGAACTTTGCCACTACTATATATACACTTTATTTTTTATATTCTTTAGGAACATTGTGAAATTACCTTTTCTTTTCATTTAACTATATTGATATTGAAATGTCTCCTTTTTATATGTCATTTGAAATGGTTTACAAGTATTTGTGAAAGCTG